ACAGAGGAAGGCAGTTCAGTCACTCCAGAATACGCAAAGGGAGATCTTGGCAACTTTGCAAACTCTCACTGAGGCTATTATGGTCATGGCTTCTGAACCAGCTCCAGTGCAAGCACCTTTTCCTATAGCAGTCCGAAACCCAGAGCCTAACTTGTTCCCTGAGGTTCGGGCTCCGATCCAGGTGCCTCTGGTGGTACCTCAGGCGAACGGTACAGCCGCCGGTTCAGTTACCTAGGAGCAGACTAGACCATTCCAACCCACTCACTTTGTTACTCTAGCTGATGTACAAGCTATGCTTGAGCAAGAGCGCAGCAAGAAACAACTACGATCTCTTCCGGACCCAAATGTGAAACCCCCATACCCTCAAGAGATATTGGCCATGCCCTACCCAATTGGGTATATAGTGCCCAAGTTTATTAAGTTTGATGGAGAACAAGGCAATGCTAGAGAACACGTGGTCAGGTTCATTGAGACTCTTGGTGTCCATGGCAGTGACCACTCTCTATGCCTCCGGGAGTTCTCCAAATCACTTACTAAAAGAGCTTACAGTTGGTATGTGAACTTGGCTCCCAACTCAATCAAGAGTTGGGAGGAGATGGTGAACAAGTTCCACACGAAGTTCTTCCAAGTCCAGAAGGAAGTTACAACCCTCACACTTGGGCGAGGTGTCCAAAAAGAAGGTGAAGATATACTAAATTATGTTAAACGGTTCCAAGACAAGGCTATTGACTGTCATGAACCAATGGATGAAGCTCACTTAGTCAGCATATGTGTGGAGGGTGCCATATGTGACTACAAGATTTTTTTGGTAAACCATAATCTGCCTACCTTTTCAGCCTTGATTGAGGCAGCTAGGAATCTCAGTGCCACTGGTCCTTTACACAGATCTTGTGACAGCCACCGCTACTCCCGCAGTAGTAGAGTTTCAGCGATAACCTCCATAAGAGGGAGCCACTCGCAAGCAGAGGCTTTGTCCTCTCGAAAGAGGAAGAGTTATGAAGACAAGAATCCGTATCCTTGCAGCCTTGAAAATGTTAAGGCTTTGATTAAAGAATAGGTCGCTGATGGTGAACTTACTTTACCTCCGGTTGATGTTGCTCCAACCAAGAAGGACAAAGAAAACCTAGATTACTATGTCTATCACAGAACCACCAGACACCCTACCAGAGAATGTTGGACGTGAAAAAATATCTTCAAAAAGAAAGTTGACGCGAATGAGTTGAAGGTCAAAGATGCCGGTAATCGTGACATACGAAAGGACCCCTACCTTAACCACAAGAAGAAGGGAAAAAATGTACACATGATCGGCTACCTTGGGCCTGTGCGCGATCAAGTGCACATGGCGTCCTACTATGATGAGTTAGAAGAAATTGCAACTGGCCAGCTCCCTGAAACAGCACCTCCAGAGGCAAAATTCGCAGAGGATACTCATACTCAAGCCTTGCAAAATTCTGTTAAGTTTCACACCTTCTTTGACCAATTGGGGCTGAGCCAAGCTACCAGGATGGAAGCAACGAAGGCTCTCATCAGCATCTTTGAAGTGCATCACGCTGAAGTTGCTGAGGCAAAGGAGTATGTGCCTCGGCTCATCCAGGAAGATTATGGGGCCATTACTTTTTCAGAGGCAGATAGAGCATACCCATTTCCTCATAACCATCCTCTTTTTGTCACAGCTTATATCAATGATGTGGAGTTCAAACGTGCTTTCCTCGATGGTGGGGCATCCATAAACATCATTACTGCTGACACCTTTGCAAAGGCTGGCATCCCGGAATCCAGAATGGTTTGCCAACCCATTACTGTAACCGGTTTTGGTGGTGAGAAAAAGGTCACTAAGGGCCATGTTGCAATGGACTTAGCGGTTGGTGAGATTTATTCCGCGACTAAATTCCATGTGATTGAAGCAGATATGAGTTACAACATGATACTTGGCAGAGCTTGGATGCACCGATATAGGGCTATTCCGTCTAGCTATCACCAATGTGTGAAGGCAAAATTGAGAAAACATACAGTTACCATAAATGCGCTTGAAAAGCCATTCGGAGTGGAGGAGCCACACTATTCGGATGCAGTTTTCTTTACTGAGTTGTCAACGGATGAAACTCCAAGGACTGGTAAGATCACAGGGGTAAAATTGCTGAAGTGGGAAAGCATTCGAGATGCCGAGGTTGCTCCAGAAAGCAGTGGACAGAAAAGGAGCAGCGAATCCACAAGTCCTTCGCCCAAGATTGTCAAGGTGCGCGAGGGCGGCAAGACACTTTACTACTTATGACGGTCTTGGGGGCCAGGCTTCATACCTTGAGAAGATGGCCGCAAGACGAATAAATGTGACGGTGATGAGTCCCAAGAAGGGTTAGTGAAGGCACCTGAGCCCGCCCCTGAATGGATACAAGATAGGCCTAAACCCCAGCAGGAGGAACTTGCTGAGGTCAACCTCAGTGACTTACCTGGACAGAGCAAGCTGGTGTTTGTCAGCAATACAATGGCCCCAGCAGCTAAGGCAGAATTGATAACATTACTAAAGCGATGCAGTGATGTCTTTGCTTGGACATATGATGAGATGCCTGGTCTTGACCCATCCCTCGTCACTCATCATCTGGACACTTTTCCCAACTCTAAACCAATCAAGCAACACGCTCGAAAGTATCACCCTGATCTTGAAACAAAGATTAAAGCAGAGGTAGAGAAGTTGCAGAGGGCCAAGTTCATTGAGCCTATACAATACCCAACTTGGCTAGCAAATATTGCTCCTGTGCAGAAGAATAATAGTTAGATTAGGGTCTGCGTAGACTTCCGTGACCTGAATAAGGCTTGCCCGAAGGATGAGTTTCCACTACCCTATGTCGATACAATCAGATGTTCTCTTTCATGGATGGGTTCAATGGTTATAACCAGATTAAGATGGCACCAGAAGATGCAGAAAAGATAGCTTTCAGAATGCCCTTAGGAAATTTTTTCTATAAGAAGATGCCCTTCGGTTTGAAAAACGTAAGGGCAACCTACCAACAGGCTATAACTGCAGTGTTCCATGACATGTTGCACCATGAAGTGGAAGTGTATGTGGACAACTTGGTGGTCAAGTCTACTAAGGGAAACCGCTATCTCTGCGACTTGGAAAATGTTTTTTAGCGCTGCCGCAAATTGTGCCTCAAGATGAACCCTCTCAAGTGTACCTTTGGAGTTATCGCTGGCAAGTTCCTTGGCTTCCTTGTACACCAACGGGGGATTGAAGTAGATGGGGACAAGATCAAGTCAATCATGGAGATGCCTCCGCCATATTCTCAAAAAGCTTTGAAGAAATTCCTAGGCAAAGTGTCATACCTCAGGAGGTTTATTCCATCCCTTGCTGGGATAACCTTCCCCTTTGGGACACTGCTGAAAGGGAATTGCAAGTTTGAATGGTTGCAAGAACACCAACAAGCATTTAACATGGTGAAGCAAGCACTTACCTCCCCGCATATAATGATTGCCCCACAGCCTAAAAAGCCTCTGCTACTGTACCTGACCTCTACTCCGCGGTCTATTGGAGCCCTCCTTGTCCAAGACATAGATGGCATTGAGAAGCCAGTCTATTATATTAGTCACAAATTCAATGGTGCCGAGTCACGATATACCCCAATTGAGAGGCATTTCTTAACCTTAATCTTCACAGTGCAGAAATTACGCCACTACTTTTTGGCACACCTGATCCAGGTTGTGACCCGGAGTGATCCCGTTCAATACTTGCTGAGCAAGCCTGCTCTAACTAGGAGAATGGCAAGATGGCTCTTGGCTCTGCAGAATATGATATCACTTGTGTTACTCCCAAGGCTATCAAGAGCCAAGCACTTGCAGACTTACTGGCCTAGTTCCCATCCGGTGAACATGAACCTACAAAGGTATCCCTACCAGGTGAGGTCCATGTCTCAGCAGCTGCAGTTGAGACTTATTGGGACTTAAAATTTGATGGAGCCTCTGGAGCTGGGAAAGGGGGAGCTGGCATCACATTAACTAGTCAAGAAGGAGGGAAGTTCCATCTGTCATATAAGCTTGATTTTGAATGTTCGAACAACGAGGCTGAATATGAAGCATTGATACTAGGTCTGATAGCTTCCCAAGAGAAGGGCCTTCGCAAGTTAAAAATCTGGGGCGACTCCAAGTTAGTTGTCAAGCAAACGATGGGTGATTTCACCTTAAAGGAGCCTCTGTTGGCCCTATATCGCACTATAGTTCAAAGGTTGCTCACTCAGTTTGATGATGTCCAAATTCAGCATACCCTTCGAACACATAACCATTTTCCCGATGCCTTGGCTACACTGGGGGCACAGGTGGAGATACCAGATGATAGTATAGCCATCGTCATCAAGAAAAGAACAACACCAGCGGTGCTAACCGAGGAACATGTAGAGCAAGATGTTAAGGGGTGGAAAGCAGATATAATCCAGCAACAGAAAACAGGCCAGGAAACGATCAGACCAGCAAAACTCGCATCATTTCTCCTCCTCAGAGGAGAGTTGTATTTTTGCGGTCCAAACAACTTGCTGGCAAGATGCGCTAGTAGAAAAGAAGCAGCTTACAGACTTAAGAAAATCCATGCTAAGTCCTGTGGAGATGGAGATATCAGTTGATACCGACAGATACAAAGGCAAGGGTATTACTGGCCAGAGATGGAAAAGTAAAGTACTGAGTTGTAGAGGCAATGTGCAAAGCGTCAGTCCCACCCTAAGGAAGAGGAATCCCATTTCTTAAGCAGTGAAGAATGGAGGAAAACATATATCAACTACCTTGGAAATGGCACACTGCCTGAGAACAAAGCCGATGCAATCAGAATTAAGAGGTGAGCCCTCCACTTCTTCCTCGACCAAGGCAAGTTGTACCGAAGAAGTTTTGATGGGGAACGTTTGGTGTGTTTGTCAAAAGATGAGGCAAATGAGGTGCTGAAGGAAGCATACAAGATAGAGCATCAAGGAGGGCAGCGGTTATATGGACATTTCATTCACCTTGGCTACTACTGACTAACAATGGAAGAAGATGCTAAAAACTTTGTGAGGAGATGCCAGTCCTGTCAGAAGTTTGGGAATTTGGTACATGCACCGGCAGTTGAGCTGCGCAACATCAAGACTCCTTATCCATTCCATACTTGGCCATTTGACTTGGTAGGTCCTATCGCGCAGCAGCCTAGAGGATACAGATGGATACTTGCAGCAACCGAAGTTAGTACCACGTGGGTAGAGGCTATACCAATGAGGAAGGTAGATGGGGTAGGAGTAGCCAACTTCATCAAAGAGAACATAATCTGCAGGTTTGGCATACCCAAAGTGATGTTGTTTGACAATGGAACTCCTTTTGTAAATCGCCATGTGGGAAGATTGTTGGATACCTACCAAATTAAGCATCACAAGTCTAGTCCATACTATCCCCAAGGGAACGAACAATCTGAGGTGACCAACAAAACCTTCATCTGAATACTGAGTAAGATGATGGATGAAGCAGGGGGCACATGGTCTGAACAACTCCCTGTAGCACTCTGGGCGTACAGAACGTCAAAGAGGAGGCCAACTCAGGCAACCCTATTTTCCCTAGTATATGGGTCCGAAGCTATGTTACCAGTTGAGTTGGTGGTACCCTCAGCAAGGATGGCTATGTCAGCACGCTTAGTTCTAGGCAGCAGAAAGAATGGCATAGAGGCAGCTGAAGAAAGAAGAGATCGGGCCTCACGGGCAATGGAAAAGTATCATCAATCCATAGCTCATGCCTACAATCAATCTGCTCAACACAGAAAATTCAATGAAGGGGACCTAGTATGGAAAACAATGGATGCGATCATGCGGGGGGCAGCCAACCCCCAAGTTCTCACCCAGATGGGAGGGCCCTTACAAAGTTGCTGAGGCAAGCAGCAGGAACTACAAGTTGACAAAGGCAGATGATGGATTCAAAACTGGCCTTGTTAATGCCAAGTACGTCAAAGAATATTTTCCCTAATTCCTCTTGTTCAAAAAAAAAAAAAAAGAGTTGTAAAGTTTCTTGGCTAAATGTTTCCAGAGCAAAGTGTAAAGAAAGTGTCATACGCCTAGTAAACCTTTTGCTTGTGTATTCACTTAGTTTGAGTAAATTTTTCCATACTTAGTGAAATTTTACACTTGTAAAAAGCTCAGTCACAATGAAATTTTACTCTTGTAAAGAGCTTACCTTATCTTTAGAAGCTATGTGAAAGCAATGTAAAGGAAACAATGAAATGAAACTCAAAAGTACTACCAAACATCCATACTTTTCATTAAAGTCAAACTTCCAGAACATGGTCACAGTGTTTGAAAAAGAAGTTATGACAGAGAAAAAAGAAAAGAAAAAGGTGCACCAAGTGCGATGCAACAACAAAACAAAGAAAACGGAAAAAATCATAGCAAAGTCACAAAGTCACATCAAATCAAACCCTTCAAGAGAGAGTCCATCAGAGTCACATCTTGGGGTAACTGGGCAGCCAATGCAAAGTTCTTCTCTTTGAACCGAGCCAGGTTCTGCTGGTGCTGCTCCAGGGCACCCTCACACTCCTTGATAGTCTCCTCCAGGGATGCAATAATCGCCACATTGTCAGCGTGTTCGAGGAAGCCGTCAACCGCCTGAAGCCTGGCCCTCATCCATGATAGTTTAAAACCACTCCTCTCAAAGCCGCTCAGATTGGCCTCGACACTCTCCATAAACTTGCTGGGAATGGTCAGGATCTGCTTGGTATCAAGATGACTAATAAAGCCAACAAGTGACTCCAGCAGTGTCGTTTGAACTATTGACCCAGGGACATTAAAGGTGGCAAAGGTGTCCGGATGCAGTGTTTGGATACGAGTAAGGGTTGGAGCAGCTTTGGAGGAAACCCAGTAGCTTAGGAAGGATACTTTCTCTGAGGGCCGGAGGGACTCCCTCACACCACCGCCAACTTCGATCACTGGAGGGAGACTGGTGGAGCGACCAAAGATCTAAGAGCGGCGTACTTCCCCTGAAGATGACTGGCCCGCAGCAACAGAGTGAGTAGATGCCGATTGGCGACTGGGCGAACTGGCCTCACAAGAAAGGCCAAAACTGCCTATACCGTCATGTCGCTCCAAAAAGAGGTCGTCCATATGATAATCTCCAACATTCAGATCCGAAACCACAGTGGTATCCATCCTAGTATAAAAATCACGGGACATACCAACGTTAGCTAGCACCTTTGGAGAATGGGTGGGGTACAAGTCTGCTAGCTGGTCAGAGGTCGCCGAAGCAACTGGATTGGAGGCCCTAGCAGCAGTAGTAACAGTGTGGGCGGCTAAAGTGACAGTTACCTCGACAAGTTTGTCCAAGTTTAGAGGGGTCACAGCAAGGACAGTAGCAGCAACCACTACACTTGCACTCTCTTCAGCCACTTGAATGTCTGGAAGTGGAGCTTGCTGAATTGGTGAAGACTCAGTAGACTGGGAGGAACCACTAGATGCAGCCCTAAGGGTAGGGGGTACAACTTCCAGCGGCTCTCTCATGCCGCGATTTTCTCTAGGGGTCTCAGGTACAAAGTCACCCCTGCCAATAGAGGAACGGCCAGAGTGCATATAGTCAGAAGGATGCAGAGGCTCTAAACCCTCAGCAGCTATGTCACCCGCTGCAACTTCCACTGCAGGGGAAACTTGCACAATGTCTACGGCCTCCGTAACTGGCTCTGCCTTGGCCTCAGCGGTCGGCTCGCCCCCCACAATTGGTTCCTCCTCAACGTCTGGAAGAACTGTCCTGTGAGTATTGAATTTTGTTACCCTAGTAGCAATGGGGAGGTCGTCATCGTCATCTGAGTCTGAAGAAATGCCAATGGCAGTAGAAGAACCCCTTAGGCCGGAGGACAGTATGCTCCGTGGTCCCTAAAAAGAAGAAGAAGATCATGCAGTTATTATAGTAAACATGATAAGTACAAGGAAATAATACAAAAATACTTATCTAAGTGTGGATACCTTTCGGAGCCTCTTCCTGCTAGGCGAGGCATGTGCCTCGGGAACCGATGCCGCTACAGCTTGGGCTACCCTTAGCCTGGAATGAGTCATGCGTACTGGTGCACCCGCTTCGGGAGGAGCAATCTGTAAGGGTTGAACAGACATTGCCCCAGACGGGTGAGCCTCTTACACAACGAGTAAGGATAGAAGCTTAAATCGACAGAATATGCTGGATTGTTTTCCTCGGCCAGAAGGCAGACGAAGGGATAGGTTGGGCTGCAGGATAGGTTCCATTACTGGGATGATTGGGGCACTATTACAAAAGTTGAAGAAGGAACTAAGATTGCGGTGCCAGAATAGCCTATTGTTGGAAGTACAGGCGCCCTCTCTCTCGAGTGAAGGAAGCTCCATGACTCCTAGGCCCTCCACAAGTGGAAGAGTGTAGTCGCGCGTAAATCGTTGAAAACTCTGGTGAAAATCAGTCTGAGGCAGGGGAGCATGTGGGACGCCCTAATCCATCCCGAATTGCATGAGCACCCTGTCCGGTCGATAGATGACACTGGACATTCCTTCTTCATTCCACACAGGCAGAAATCTAGGGCAAATCGTGGCAGCAATAAGAAGAGAATTAGCATGGATATTGTCGAGAGAAAAATCAACATGGCGGGACTCTGAAAAATAAAAGGAGACAACAGAAATGCCTGGGAGTGACTGAGTGAAAGGACGGAAGACGCACTCCTCCATATGGTCAACATAGTTTCAAAAAGGCCTATTGGTACCGAGGCCAGACCACCGAGATATGCGAGAGAGGGACTGACGTACTTGCCTCGTGACAGGCCGACCCTCTGCATCTAAGACAGGGTAGCCCTCTACATCAAAGACTTCATCAGTAAAGAAGGGCTCATGTTCCTTAGGGGTGGGGCCCATGGCAGGAAATCTCTCATAGAAAAAGGCAGTCAGGAACTGGCTATGCACAAAGCTGCACACGTCATTGTGGCCCATGGATCACTTTATGTCCGAATGGATGAGGTCAAGACGAAAATGTAAGTTACCCAGAGAGAAAGGAGCCAGAGGAATTTGGTTACCGCTGCAAAGCTTCACAGCTAAGGGAAATACCAAGGGATTGATGCTTTCATTAGGGTTACAGGGTAGGACGAAGAATGAGATAAAATAGCTGATGAACGCCGCCAAGTACAAGTCATCTCGGTAGCCTGGGCCAACTACAGAGTCATGGCTTTCCTTAGTGATGTCACCTACGACTGGTTGCAAGTCCTTAAAGAAATCCTTCAGCCAAGAAAGATAAGTAGTCTTATCTCTTTTGGGTCTCTCCTAGAGCAGTTTCCCGATTCTAAGATCATACTAGGAACCAAAATTCCGCGCCTCCTGGAAGGCGGTTTGAAGAGCAGTGACGGTGACTTGCTTGGCAGGGGTCAGAGACGCTGGGTCAAAGGGGAGATCTCCACGGGTGCTAAGGCGTAAGAGGACGACAACATCTTCCAGGGTCGAGGTTATCTCCCCCAGGGCAAGGTAAAAGTATGGGTGTCACGACTCCAATGGGAAACAGTCATATTAGTGCTGGTCTGCACCTTATGCACTGATAACTCTTTCGAGATTAAAATCGCATTGAAAAGGCGAATATCACGATGACGTTGCTCGAAGCCGCCATCTGTCATGACGTTATCGACCCAAAAGGACCAATCTGTTGGAGGGCCCGAGTGAGTACGATAGTAGATGTAAGAATGTGGGAAGTCGCCACGCTCCACATGAAACCGCAACACAAAAACCAGGTTCACTATGTCCACGTCTTCCAAGGTGGCCTCCCCAAAAGGAAGCAAAGGCTCCTCTAGAGAAGGGGTGTCAGGAATCAATGAATTAACCGCCTTTCAGAAGGGGTCGGCCAACCCTCCGAAGTAAGGGGCCCGCCTTCACACAGTAGGAGGTGAGGTAGCCCTGTCAATAAGAAACCTCGTGTTGGCCATGAAAGGGAGTAAAAAAAAGTCAAAAGGCTTTGGAAAGAGGGGACAAAGGAGAAGAAAAGACAAACGAGACAGAAAGGTGTGTTAGGAAGAAGTGGGGGACCAGTGGGCCCAAGGGCATTATTTATAAAGAAAATCGACAAAGGGCACTAGCACATTGCCCTAGGTCCATTATGACCTGGCAGTCAAAAGGGTACCTTTTTAGAGCCGACGCAACTTCTGACTCAACTGATGCAACCCTTGGGTTGCCCGTTGACGTCATGTACGCAAGGGAAACAAGGAGCGTGTCTCCCACGCGTGCAGGGGGCAAAATGTAGAGGGTCAGAAATTAAACCCCAAACTAAGTATGGACCCAAGCACTAAGATCGCCCTGAGAAGGCGACCAGGGATAAAAAATGAGCGTGGGCCAAAGCCCAAAGGAAGTGGGCCAACAAGTGGGTCGAGGCAGGTCCGACCCACCAAAGCTCCAGATGAACTCAGCAAGGAGGAATGCCCAAGTCAAGTTGTAGAGGCAACATCTGCAGCGGTGAAATTGCCGAGGGGACA